CTAGTATCTTTTCAGTCATTTCTACGATTCAGAGGTAACGTAACTTCCTCCCTCACGCTTCTATGTCTTTAATCTCCTAGTTTCTCTAGCTTCCATTATGTGTCCTGGACGGACGTAAAACGGACTGGCCATGGGCGACGGGTGCTCGATCGGTCAGCTTGCCGGAGAACAAAGTCCCATACTCTATCGCGGGCGATTGGACGGGTCCCACGCGTTTAACTTTTGCTTGACTTATGAAGCAGCATCTAACTTCCATAGTCGCGTAGAGCTCGTTTCGACTAAGAGCATCGATGCCTATGGGTCATGCGCTCTTAATCGGCTAGGCAGACGTCTACCACCTACCACTTTATGCGTTCGCTATCGCTCAAGTGAGATCGTTAGAAGATGTCGCAGTTCGAAGGAGCGAGTGTAACTACACGGTGACGTCGAGACCTCTACCTCCACACGGTCATTAAGCATTTCATGGAACTAAGCACTGAACTGTGGCCACGGTCCGGGAGGAGCGACTATGCTTTCCGCTGGTCTCTCCTTCAACCAATTCCTTACGGTACACCCAAACGGCGGAATCTGCTCCGTACCCCAAGTTACTCCTCTTACCTCCGTGGTGCGTCGCCAAATTTTCCATTCTGGCCCCGACTAATGGGCCTGGTGGTGGTCATAGTGTATTTGCAGAGGGTGTTGTTGAAGATGGTGCGGGAGGTTTTGGGGGTTGAGGTTGAGGGAACAGGGGGGGATGGGGAGGGGGGGGAGTTGATGATGGAGTTGTTTAATATGCTGGTGCGGCCTGAGGGGGTGGGTGTTGCGGCCGGGGAGCGGGCGTTTGAGTTGCGCTGGCACCGCGATGATATACCTGCGACGGCGACCGCGGAGGAGGAGGTGGTGCGGCTGAAGGGGCCCGACGACAAGTATGTGCACACGCAGTGGAACTTGCCGCTGTATGACGACGACAGCCTCATCGTCATCCCGGGCAGCCACGCGCGCGCCCGGACTGAGGAGGAGAGGAATGCGGCGCCGTATGAGGAGCATATCACGGGGCAGGTGCGGGTGCAGTTGAAGGCGGGGGATGTGGTGTTTTATGATAATAATATCTTGCATCGTGGGGTGTATGATGTGGCCAAGGAGAGGGCCACGCTACATGGGTCGGTGGGACATGTCAGTGCGAGTCGGGAGCGGGCGAGGAATGTGCTGCAGCATGGGGTTGGGGAGTGGGTGGATCGTTGTGACTTTTCGGTGTTGAAAGACGAGAAGCAGAGGAAGACGGCCGAGGCGATGAGGCAGAGGTTGGTGCAGCTGGGGAGAGAAAACGAGGGGAAAGATGTTGGTTTCTCTTTGGAGGGCTAGAAGTGCTGTGTTCTATTTAGGGGCTGCCTTTGAACGGAGAGCCATCAAAGCTTGAACCAGAGATATAGGCCCAGTGTATATACAAATGCCCACCTCCTCCGGCATCCCTCACCCGACACCCTCCCTCATCGACTTCTCGTCCACCTTTAGTTGGTCTTATACACCGCAACGTTCGACGCGAACGTATTCACGTTATCCGCGAACCACGCCACCCGCCCACCATTGCGCGTAATCATCTCCCGCGTGCCAATGGTGTTGACATTATACAGATTCACATTCGTCGCCGACCCCTCAATTGAAACAATCCGCTGCTGGCAGGTCTGGCCGGCCTCGAAGGTCGAGCAGGCGGTGCTGTAGTTGTCGAAGAAGGAGTAGAGGCCGCCGCCGTACAGGAAGACGTCGCGCGAGTCGATGACGCGCAGGCCCCACGCCGCCGCGCAGTTGCCCTCGACGCCGGCGCACTGCGCGTTGAAGTCCGGGTCGCGCAGCGCCGACACGGGCGGGAAGGGCACGAGCGCGTTGGGCGTCGGCTGGAAATAAGGCGTCTCCGTCTGGATCTGGCCCATGAAGATGTTGCGCGTGTTGGCGAACTGGTATTGGTACAGCACGAAGTGCTCCGAGCCGGTGCCCCAGAGCCAGAAGGGGCCGTTCTCGGATTCGATGTCTGGGGGGTGGTTGGTTAGTGTGTCTGTCTCGGTGGGTGGTAGGTTGGGTTGGTTCAGAAATCACTTACAGAGGCCGCGGCCGGCGTAGATGGTGATCTGCGTGTTCTGCGCTTCGTCGATGTCGTGGTCGGCAGTCCTGTACTTCATGTCAGCCCTACCGTCTTCATACCCCTATTCATGTCCACAACAACAGCACTTACCAGATCCACACGTTCTCCATGTATAGCCCGCTCGCCGCCTTGGTAACATGCATGCCCATAAACGCAACCATGCAGTTCGGGTTGACAGCCGCGTTGCCCGGCGTCTTGAGGCACTGGGCGACCTGCTGCTGCGTGCCGGTGAAGCCGCCGATGCGGACGTGGACGTCCCACATGCCGCTCGGGGTGCCGCCGCTGGCGAGGTTCCACTCGATGCACGTCGCGCCGGCCTGCACGCCCTGCGTCGACACGATGAAGTCGCTCAGCTCGACCTGCCCCTGCTGGCCCGACGTCTCGCCCACCTGCAGCACCGGCTTGGGGTTGTTGATGTCGTTGAAGAAGCCCCCCGACGAGAGGATGACGGGGAACGACTCGCCCACGATCTTGGCCCCGGGCGGGATGCGGATCGTGTTGGTGACGCGGTACAGGCCGTAGTCGAGGAAGAGGATCTTGTTCTGTGCGACCGCCTTGTTGATGGCGTTCTGGAGCGCCGTCGTGTCGTCCGCCGAGGCGTCACCCCTGGCACCTTCCGACCGGACGGAGATAAAGGACGAGGCCGGGGTGTTCTCGTACTGCGGCTTCGAGCGGGTATAGTACCGTCCGTTGGAGACGAGGGATCCGGGCCGCGGGTTGGGGGAAATCGGACCGGCGAACTTGTTCGGGCCAGAGGTGCCGTAGCTGTGACCGTTGGCCCAGGCGTCGATTGTGAGCGATCCGCCGGCAAGCATGGTGCCGCTGGGGCCTTTGACAGCAACGGGGACGTTGTTCAGCGCGATGTTCTCCATCACCAGGCTGCCGGCGGTGGCAGGGTTGGAGCTCGTGCTCCAGGCCGTGAGGATAGCAACGGGAACGTTGGTGAAGCTGCTGTCAAGCAGAGTAACCGAGCCCACATCCAACTTGTTGGCCGCGCCGCCGGCTGACATGTCAATACCAACCTGACAGTTGTTGATGGACAGACCAGCATACGTCCAGCCCCAGTCCCAGATTTGGATGATGGCTATAACGGTCAGCAAAGACCGGTACGAGACAGGAGAAAGGAGAACCGGATTTTCACCCACCCGTCTTGCAGTTGTTGAACTTAAGGTTCCGCATGGTGTACTGCTGGTTGCCCATGCTGGCACCAGTCGCGCCGCCGTTGAAGGTGAGGTCCGTCATGAAACCTCCACTACCCTCTTCGATGAACAGACCGACGTGGACCACGTCACCAGTGGCGGGCATGTTGAACACAATATTCTGGAGACTGGTTGCCTGAGACGTCGGCCAGTGCATTCCAGTGGCAGCTGTCCCGGGCGGGATGGCAGTCGTGTCGATGACAAAGTTGCGCACTTGCCGGAAGAAGACATTCTGGGACTTCCAGTTCAGTACGGGGGTATAGTAGGGGTTGCCGTCGATGAGACCGAAGCCAGCAAAGTTCGAGGTCGCCTTGAGCGTAGGCGGAGATGCGGCGTCGCCGATGAGTTGAGTGAAGTAGGCCGGGAAGATAGAGGACGAGATCAGGTAGGTGCCAGCAGGGAAGTAAACCAATGCTGGGGTTGTGGTTGTCGAAACCTTGAGAGATAATGAGCACAGAGTACTCCGACCTATGGCTGCCTCTGCGGAAGATGACTTACGCAGCCCTTGTTGCAAGGGTTTCCGGCATTGATGGCAGCATTGATAGCCGCCGTGTCGTCCGTGACACCATCACCTCTTGCACCATAGTCTTTGACATTGCGAAAAACAGGATAGTTTCCTCCAGCAAACGGTGCGACTCCCTGATCTATTGGTTTGTTAGCAACCCCATCGTAGGCGAGTCAGGCTGGAGGAAGCTAACGAGGAAGTTCCCCAAGCCAGTGTCCTTTCACTGTTGACACGAGACTGGCAGCAGCCAGCAGCGCGGAAAAGAAACGCATGACGACCGCTTCTCGCCGTCTGTGCGGCTAAAGTTAAGGAGAGACAGAAACGAGACAAGGCCAATCGTAAAGAGGCCCGTTCCGCAGTTGGGTGTCTGGGGAAAGGTTTCGTCCACAACAGTCATGGGAGGGAGACTGGCGGGTAATATAGTCCTTGCCCGCCACACCGTCATTCCATACAAGACACAGGAAGCCATCCGCGAGACAACCCCACGTGCGCTGCTACAAGGAGAATAGGAGGGAAGTTCTAGAGAGGTGTGCTACCATACCCGGAGTGGGCGAGCCGCATAGCGTGACCCTGAGTGCATAGACCCACGTGCTTGGTCGTCTGCCTGCTAGGAGATGTAACCATCACCAACGCCAGCAACGACCTTTACTAGCCAAGACGTAACCCACGATCGGGCCGCCCACCAAAGGGCCGATTGTATCTGGCACCATGGCCGGCTTACGCCTCCGAAAGCAAGCAGGAGGCCGGGTTGGGTAGCTCTGGGTATAGCTGCTAAAACCCATAGCTGGTTGCCTAGCCACGGGGGAGTGGAGGAATGCTGTTGCTCTGAAGCCCTTGTATGCAAGAGACATGAAAATTCCTACCACCATACTCCGCTTCAGTCCCTCCAACTCGGCCCAACAACCCCTGACGTCAAAAGTCCTTCCAAATCAGTGGAGGGGTTTGGCATGAACATGCCACGTCCCGTGGTATTACTAACTGAGTAGCCTCGTTCCCATGAGCCTGCAAACAATTGTGCACTTGAGCATGTCTCACCTAGATACTTGGCGGTTGGTGAGCGCGGTAGAGCAGCTGAGCCTGACAAGATCCGGTGACTTGAGTCGATCTGAGATTTTAAAGTCACCTTCTCCTTTATTTTTTCTCCCAACACACAAGATGCGGGAAGGGCGGCAACAAGCGAATGGTCTGGGGTTGGAGAGTGCATAATGTGAAGAGGCCGTCTTTTGATGAAGGGGTCAGTTGCGCCCCTGAAAAGGGTTTGGGGTATCTGATTCGTCCAAGCGGCCGAACTTGTCTGTGAGTGCCGGAGGTTGATGGGGGCGAATAAGGCCGGATACTACCCGCCTATTGCCGCGGGTGACCACCACCCACGAATCGCCGATCAGATCGCGCATTTGTGACCCCGTTGTCTTGGACTTGCTGAGACCTCAGATTCCTTACTTTCCTTCCTTTGTAAGGTGCTGCAATGAGCGATGTCACATCACAAACCCAGGACCCAGCGATGGGGTGTAGCGTTTTCCCAGCTCCGCCGAGCGGTGCCGAAGCCCGGGTGGTCTGTACCACGTACTATTCTGCAAGCTAGAGCCTCCATGAACCCATGGACCCGGGTGTGCTGGCCGATCCGGAGGATTGTATGGTGTCCATATACCGTAGTCACTGTGTCGGCGAGCCGGAGAAGCTCACCCAAAACTCTCGGAGAGAGCATGAACGATTTCTCCGGGTAAAGTCAAAAGAACAAACCCTCTGGGAAAACCTCCTAATCTGTCGCTGTTTCCACCGCACGAGGTTGTCAGACCATTGCGCTCCAGCCGATTATTCTCCGCCCTCGTTGGGCCGATTTCTTCTTCGTCGACGGCGCACGTCTTGAGCGGTAGATTGCCATTCCTGATGGATATCTGTGGAAGTCAAAAGACTAAGATCCTTGATGATTAGACGCTTGTCGGCCCGAAAACATCTTGAGGACAAGCCAGCTTGTTGGGTCAGATAAACGACCCGAGGCAAATAACAAAGGCTGCGATGGGAGAAGGTCGTCTTGAACGCTTTCCCCCCGGCCCGCAAGGTCAAGGTGAAGCCTGATGATTTAATTGAAAACAAGCCCTACCGCGCTAATTTATCTATTCCCGACAAGCAAGCCTCCAGATATTTGGGTTCAGAAGCCGGTAGTTCTTGAGGGCTGCAGATTCTGGATGCGCGAGAACCCCGCATGCCCGTCCCGAGCGCGGAAAGCACCGGTTTGACGCTGGCTCGTTAGTTCAAGCTTTTGCAGTGGCCGAGCACGCGGCTCATCCTGTCACCCATGATACTGTGACTAACAAGGCGGGGCAAGTCGCGGTGAGCTTGAAAACTATAACCAGAGAGCCCGTGACACGGATGTGTTGATCCCATGGAAGTCGGCCGGATTCTGCCTATTTGAAGCGAAGAGGGTGCTATGTGGGATGCGGTAGTTATCGAGTTGGCACCGACGGCGGGTTGCGGCTGGTGCTTCAGCGACAGGCCGGAACGAGGGGGATGGGTCTCATCAAATAACCGCCGAGGGCCTGCCCGACATGGACTTGCGGTGTGCAGCGATGCAAACTTTGGAGTTTTTGTCCATGCATGCTTCACATAGATTTGGGTCAAGGCGATCGCGTCGGCAGCTTGTCTCTCAGTTGTTGTTCCCTTAAACCGAAGACGCCCGTCCAGTGTGGCTCCCGCGGTGCGGTATATCAGAAAACCTAGACAAGATGCGAGGCGGTATTGAACATTCCGCACCACAATAAGGTGTTAAGCCGCTCGGTTTCCGGAGGCAGGCTTGTGATGCCGCCGAGTTGCCCCAGTTCTTCTCTCCGCACCACAGGGCCTCCATGTGTGGGGGGGTCGCTCCCCCTCTCGACAGGGGAGCTTCCCCAGATCTCCAAACCGGACACCTCCACTCTCCCCACAATTCATGTTGTCGGGATCACATGAAAGCTTGAAGCGCGCGATGCAATTGTCGGGATGAAAAAGATGAACGCCTGTTAAGGGTCAACAAAACTTGAGAAATCGGAAAGAGGACTGCTAGGATGAACCCTCGTTTTATCGAGTTGCTCATAGCCAGTGTCCGTCAGCCGTCGTGCGGATTTTGGCTTGGGACATCGCCCGTGAATTGCCAGGGTTCCACAGCCCTCGGTCCCGGTTCCAGGATGCGTTGCTGCAAACGCACCCCGCTTTTTAGTGTAACATACAGTGCCCGGCTCTTCCCATGACGATGCGCGCCATGGTCAAGGGGAAGCCGACCTTCAATTTGATTGATGAGATGGTATGACGGGCCATGCACTTTCAAGAAGAATATGTGCTGTGTTTAGTAGAAAGGTAGAAAGGCCGTCGGGCGCGGATGACACGGCGGGCGTCGTTGACGTCGTTGACGCACGGGAGGATCGATCTGGGCCAAGGCCAGGACCGATGCTAGGGTTATTGCTGGGGCGAACCTCGCAGACAAATAAATTCCGACAAGAGTTCAATAACAAAGAAATATTGGTAGGTAGGTAGCCGTCCTCAGCTGGAAAGCTTCGTGATTTTTGTTTGTTCTTTTTGTTTTTCTTTTTTTCCTCCCACGGTTGAGCCCTCAACTTCAAATCAACCCCAAATGGCAGGAACCTGGGAACCGTTCCCCGCCCCCACATTCGGTGCGGAGATTGAAAATTGGGATTGTGTTCCAATGGGGAAGGAAAGGGAAGTGGGTGGAGCAAGCAGGGGCAACCAGAAACGCACACCCCCACTAAAATAGTGCCGTCATTCTCTGAAAGGAAACAGCAGCACACGACCACAACGACCTTTCGATGCGTGGTAACTCGGGTTCCTTCTCTCCAACTCGCCATGTTGAAACAGGGATGAAAGACTTCGGGTCCAAACAGAATTCAGATGTCTCGATTTCTCAGATTGCGAAATTAGAAAACCAAGATGCCTGACTTGAGAAAGCAGCACCTTCCTTGGTTACAAGTGGTGCAGGGGTCCGTGGCCAGAACCAATGTCGCGCCTTCTTTACCTTCTCCCATGTTCTTCCGATTCCCGACCGGGAGTGGTCCTTCCCCGTTTCCCCATCCCCATTCCCCGCGTTTGCGTTCTGCAACCGCACCTCTCAGTTCCATTCGACCTCCGCGCCAGGCTCGCTTGTTGTTGGCTTTGATCGCAAATCGATTGCCTCTTCCCCCGTTCCCCGTTCTCCGCTCGCTCGATATTCTAAACTTTGATATTACTCCATAAGTCTTATCCCTTCTTTTCTCCTCACGCGGCGCCTGCATGTCCGCTTTTGCCCAATCGTGAAATATTATCAACACCGACCCGCCAGAGCGGCAAACGCCAAGCCCAATACTCGAAAGATCACCCAACCCGGCCGCGTCTTCAGGCCTTCCGGCTGGCGCCATTGCCCACGACCTATCCGGCCCACTGCTTGCGTCCTGGTCATCACCCCCCCTCCTCATCATTGTCAACAGCCCAGTTGGATCAACCCTTACCCCGCTCTTCCCCCGGCTCCCACTTGGCTGTCCGTGCTTGTTGCCGCCTGCGTGGGCGCACAGCTACCTAGCTCCACAAAGGCCTGCCCTTCAAATCGAAGCTCCTCAGCGCATCGGTAGCACAGAGATCGGGTGTGCCAAACGGGCTGATAATATCGCTATCTCTTGTGATACCCTTAGCCAACGAGTGAGTTACGGTGGGTAGGAACGGCAGGTGTGTTTGTACGTGAGCCTAGAAGGAGGGTAGCAAACACGGGGGTTCAACAGAAGTATCTTGCCAGAAGCTTGTCCACAGACGGGCACCCGACAGGGACGGGTCGAGATCAGCCTAGGAGCCGGAAGACGGGCATGACCACAACGTCTTGATTCGGTCATTTTGTCTCTCACCGACAACACCCCACAATACCTTGGTTGGCAGTATTTGGCTGCTAGTTCCCCCCTTCTCACTCCTCCCTTCCCCCTATCCCCCACTCTCCCGAGGGGGACGCGAGGTGGTTTCTCCTCCGCTACACTGGAGAGTCTCCGTTCCGATACCCCAACTGGACCAGATCACCCTCCTTTTCTTGCGCAATGTTGCCGCTCCAGTCAATCGAGGCGTCACCCCCGTCCAACCATGCCGACGAGAACGGGGAAACCCGGCAGCAGAAGCCCAAGGCGTTGCCGTGCAAGTATTGTAGCAAGCGTTTCAGGTCAGTAGTTGACAGAACTACCCCATCTCGGCTCCTCTGCCGTATATTGACTTACATTACTATCTCATATTAGACGTGTGGAGCATGTCCAGAGGCACGAAAGAACCCATACAAAGGAAAAGCCCTTTGCCTGCGCATGGCCTCGTTGCGGGAAGACCTTTGGGCGACGGTGAGCGAGTCCTCTTTGCTGCACCCTTGTGCTTCGTATTGCCTCCGCATGGGATTTGAGCCCTAGCCTAGCCTCGCACAAGCTCCCCCAACCCGTTCTCTCCTAGTTACCTACCCTCCCTGCCCCAAAAGTCCTCCACGCTCCCGCTCTCTTTCTCAATTCCGTGCTCCAACATCTTGGCCCCCTATCGATCCTCAACACCTACATCTGCGCCAGGACGACGGGTCTGTCGAGGTCCCTCTTGTCCTTCGCGTCGCTCATAGCTTGGATATCCTCTCGTAATGAACATATGCTTATATGGACATTAGGGACCTACTTGTCCGTCATGAGAAGCTTGTCCATCTTAATGAAGGCAGCAGCAACAAAGATGGCGCTAGGCCGCGGAAGCCCTCGTCGGCGGGCGTCGCTCCTGTCGGCCTGCCCGAGAACCAGGCCGACACCGAGATGCTCGGTATGCAACAGCAGCAACAGCAACATCAACATCAACAGCATCAACAGCATCCGCCGCAACCGCAACAGCAACAGCAAAAACCACGGCCGGTTCACAACCAGTACCAGCCAGACCCGATACAGCAATCTGTAGTAGCATCGCTCCCCCCTGACTCACGCCTTGCCACAAGAGCTCCTGCATGCAACCTCGATCTTCTCTCCGACGCTGCGACACACCTCGCCTCGGGTGGAGAGGTCAACAACATGCAACCGGCCATGATCCAAGGACTCGCGCCTCCGCCACCAGATTTGACGCCAGTCAAAGCTTATCATGATGCGATGCCTTACGGAGACAGGCCACGGGATCAAGACCCGGGTGTATTGCCCCCAGGGTATCCGGCACAGCCTCCGCCTCCCGCCTTCGATGATTACAACCTCTTCCTCGACGACTACGCTACGTCCTCGCATTTTCTGCCACCGTCACTCGAGGCCGAACAAGGTTTTAACATGTGGTCACGCCCTCCCGGTGCTGAAATGGGACGGGGGCTCTCGAAACCTCCGTCGGCGTTTCCTTCTAGGTTTCCGTCGCTTGCTCCGGATCTGCGAGATCCAACTGGAGAGGCGCCAAGGATGCATGAAGACGGGACGCGAGCGCCAATATGGAGAATATCAGCCATGGACCATACTGCCATTCGGAACCGGTTGGATGAGTTCTCCTCTGCCCTTCCAAATGACTTTGTGTTCCCATCGCGGCACACGCTAAATAGGTTTCTCGAGGGCTATATAAGTGGCTTTCACGACAATCTTCCTTTTCTCCATCTCCCTACTCTAGCCCCCACCGATCTATCGCCCGAACTGCTGCTCGCAATTCTGGCCGTTGGAGCGCAATACCGCTTCGAAACGAACCGCGGTCACGCTTTATGGTACGCCGCAAAAGCCGTGGCGCTTGAGCAGATTCGACGAAGGCATAGCCATGAAGTACACGGCTTGCTGCCTACACCGGCGGCATACAGCCCGCACTCCACCCGTCCGTCTCCGAGCTCTGGGTTCCGACATTCTTTTCCTTCCGTTCATCAAGACCGCCCGATGACACAGGATACTCATCGGGAACCCTAGTAAGACCTCTTCTTGTATGGCAGGGCGAGCTCCGGTGCTAACCATTGCAGCTCGCCGAATACGCCTCAGTCGCGCCTCGAGACAATTCAGGCCCTGCTCCTGCTGTTTTCCGTCGGTCTCTGGGGCGCAAAGGCGATTCTTCATGAGGCCTTGTCCCTCCAAAGTTTGCTTGCACTCTTACTACGCGAGGAGGGGTTGGTCGCAGAGGCCAACCAGCAAACAACCGATTGGGAGACTTGGGTTCGACTTGAAGCGAGCACACGAACTAAACTCGTTGCCTACTGCTTTTTTAACCTTTGTAGCATCGCATACAATACGCCACCGCTGCTTCTGACTTCGGAGGTCCACCTATACATGCCGAGCCCTTCTCGTCTCTGGAAGGCTGAAAATGCCTGGCAATGGCAGGAGGCGCGGCAGTCTTATCCCAACATGGAGATTTCGCTCCAAGATGCGTTTGCACGGCTCCTGCACCGCCCTTCGCAATCATCCACGACTCCGCTCACATCACTGAGCAACTACATCCTCATCCACGCCTTGATCCAGCACATCTTCCTGCTGAAGCAAACGTCTTTCTCCAGCATGACACCATTTGGGTTACAAAGGGGCCTAAAAATGGAAGACGTGGAAGACATCAACCAAGCGCTCCGTGCTTGGAGCCTCAGCTTTGAGCAGCACCGCCAGTTTCGGGCAAACGAGATGGCGGCGCACGGGGCCGGGGAGGGTTACGCGGAAGGCGCGGTAGCGTTCAACTCGACGGCGTTGCTGAGGTTGGCCTATATTAGGTTACACACCGACCTTAGCTCAAGCCGGAGCCTTGAGACGCGAGATCATGTCATGATTGCACAGGCGTTTACCGACGCCCCTCTGCTGGTCCGGAGTGCGCGTCTCTGTCGCGCCGTGGTCCAGGCCATCCATGCTCTGGCTATGCTTGTCAAAATGGGGGTCAATTACGTGGCCAAAACCAAGTCGTTGGAGTGGAGCATGCAGCATTCTTGTAAGTCACCAGCCCTTCTTAGGTTCGGGAGATATTCACCCGAGAACCTTGGCCTGACCTTTATCCAGTGTGCAATCTCGAGTGCGCCGTTCTCTTGTCAAAGTGGCTCCTCACCTTGTCGGCAATCGGCCCGGCAGAGCCGCCCCCATCAGCCGAGGAGAAGAACCTCCTCGAAATGGTGCGCCGCATGCTGGATGAGACCGAGTTTGCCGTGCCCATCGACCCATCGCTGGCGGGATCGTCTGGCGGTCACGGCCACGGCCATCACCCCTCGCGGTCCATGGACTTGTCCGCTACCGATAGCACTAAGCTTAGACAACTAGCCTGTGCCGTGATCCGGCTGTGGGCCGAAACGTTCAAAGGCACACACATCTTTGAAATCGTGCGCATCATTGCAGCGGGGCTGGAGGGATACGCGGACATGATGGAAAAGCCGAGGGACAGGACACCGCTGGGAAGGATGATCCCGAATCAGGGGCTTAGTTGAGATTCGGGTCTGGCAGGTGATGGATCTAATAGACGATGTTTGGTGTTCCACAACGGAACTAGAGTGTCCGTGTCGCTGATAGACGGATCCTCTACCGTTCTACGGGCGGATAAACCATATCCGATCCCTTTGAGATGTCCACCGCTTGCGCAATTGTTATATTGCACTATGGACTCGTGACGCCCATCCACGTCTGGTGCGCATACGCGCTCGAATCATGCGTTTGGAAGGGGAGGGGTCAACAACTTCGGGGTCCTTGATGACACCATTTGAAGCTTCCAACGACCGGTAGTGTGCTTGAGGTTATCGGTACCAGACATTTACACGCAGTTGGGTATCATGCATCGATATGGGGCGGTGTGTTTGTTTTGTTGTTGTATAGCGCAGTGCCACTATGAAGAGAGTCTGGATGGTGTGTATCGCGGGTAGCGAGATGGCGTACCACAGATGTAGCACTGCAAGCGAAAATAGATACACGATTGCAACGCCAATCCATTGCGCCGGATTGGGGTCTCTTTCTTGGGTTGAGGGTCCGAGTGGAATTAATTGTACATGTACCACGATGAATTGAGTTTAGACCAGACTTTGTGAAAGGTAGGAGGATGGATGGAGTGGGAACGGGCACTGATATAATTCCGAATTTCAGCAAGAAGATCTTGAAATGCCAAAGTTTCTTCGCTATAACTACGCTCCCCGCCACAAGAAAACAGGATATCAACCTCCCCCGTGCCCCCCAGCCACGATCACCAACTAGATTCTCGAACAGCGATAATAATAACAGCAACAACAATAGCGGCAGTAGCCATGTCATCAGAACCTCTGCCTTGACTCGTATTGCCATGTATCCCAAGAGGCGACTAGCTACCTGGCCATCCCAACGGGCCCCCAGAAAAGATGCTACTTTCCTTTGGTCAACCCATGCTCAACCCAACCTCAACCCCTCCCTTATATCACATCACCACTCCCGTCTGCTTCTCTCGCTTCTCAGATACATACGTAATGCCAGGCTGATACAATCCCTCCAAACCTCAACACACCACCCCATGCAGTCGTCTAATCGCATCCTATCCCTCCCTCACAAACATACACAATCCGTTCCGCATCACCACCACAACTAACTCCCACATCATCACCATCACTCACACACACCAACACTCAATTCAGCGCTCAGTACGCCGCCGTGCGATAATACCCCTCCGCGGCCGGGGCCGTCGGGGCCGTGGGTCCGTCATCCGCAGGCGGCAGGCCCGGAGCCGACGACGACCCAGGCGGCACATAAGCCTTGTACTGCGGCTGCGGCGGCGCACCACCCATTGCGGGAGCGCCACCACCACTGCCCGGGCCCGAGGGCCCGCCCACCCTGCTAGGCAGTGACTGGCGCGCGTCATACGCTGGCCCGGAAGGATGCAGCGGCGGTGGGGACATGGTCAGCCCCGACGGGAGTGGCTGTTGTTGGTGTGGCCGCGGCCCGTCGACGGTTGCGGCGTCGTAGCTTCCGCTGGCTCCTACTCCTACTCCTCCCGGTGCTCTGTAGGGGGTCTGTTGGGGTGGGTGAGCGTGGTAGGCAGAGTAGGGCTGGCCGTAGGAGGGTTGTTGGAGTTCCGGGCTCGGGGCCGATGGGGCGGGGACGGATGGTGGAGGGACGGTTGGTGCCGTGGGAACGCTGGAGTTGGATGCTGCGGCAGCGGTGTAAGGGTCTTCGTCTGGGGTGGCATACGCGGAAGGCGGGTACGGCGCAGCGGGGTTTGCGTTTTGAGGCGCGATGGGGGAGTCGTAGACCGAGGTAGAGAGTTCCTGTGGGCCGCTGCCATAGGTGCTCTGAGGACGAGCGGATGACTGGGGGGCTTGGTAGGGCGTGTATTGATTCGCCGGTGGTGGTGATGAGGACGTCTGCAGTGGCGCCGGTTGCTTACCGCCGGATGGAACCCGCTGTTCCGATGGCCGTTGGGCGTATTGCGGCTGCTGGGGTTGCTGGGACTGCTGTTGCGGCGTCGGCGGAGGTATTTGGTTCTGCTGGGACGGAACCTCGGCGCCTGCTACATAGAACGGAGCAGGCGTGGCCCCGGGACCAGGCCGCTGGAAGTTATTAGGGGGAGGGGAAGACGGAGGATATTGGGATGGCTCTATCAATATGTACATCAGCTATGTTCGATTCTGCCTCTAATTTCCTAGCTCGACCGAAGGCGTACCTTGAGCAGGCGCCGGGGTGTAGAACCGCTGCGCATCTTGTTGCTGCGGAGGGGGTGCGCCGTAATTCTGTCCGGGGGGTGGATACCCCTGGGGAATCTGTGGGCGCATGGCATATTGGTGGTAGGTCGGCCCCGGAGGGTGTGACATGGATGACTCGAGCAGAGCCTCGTAATCCCTCCTGGCCTTGATGAACTTCTCATTGAGTTGGGTGAAGTCATCTAGATCATGTTAGCTCCATGTCCAAACAACACTCCAGCAAGAGCAATC